TGTATGTGTATGTGTATGTGTAGATAGATAGATAGATAGATAGATAGATATTTATACTTAAAGAATTGTTTGTCAAACTGTAGTAAGACTAAGTAATCTGGTTGTTGAAATGGTGAATAATAATAAATAATAATAATACTAATAAACAAAATGGCTACTAAATAAATAAATTAATACTCTATATTAATTGAGTGCATTAAATATTTACCACACAAACACACACACATCACAAACTTGTTGAATGGAAATATCACTCTGCAGAACTAAAATATTATTGTTGTTGTTTATGATGATGATGATAATGATAGACCTAACAAATTAATACATGAATGAATGAATGATCTATATTAATTGAGAGACTGTATGAAATATTCAGCCTATAAATTAAAACAACTCATTTGTTACACTGAGGGAATATTTAAGTGAACTGCTAAAATGGTTAGTTTTTTATTGTTATTATTTGTTTTATTTAATTTTATTAGTAGCATTTTGTTTTATTTAAAAATAGTGAAAAAAGTCACAAAAGTTGATGGACGTGTGTGTACACTGTAGCCTACCGAGCAGATCGGAGTAAGACTTTCTCTCCTGAAGAGATCCGTTCAAACATGGTTCCTCCCGTTCAAGTCTCCCCGCTTATCAAGGTACAGCTTCTATTAGGAATATGACTCAAATTGTGTTTTATATTCAGAAACATGCTCTATGCTTGTTAGTTTATATGAGCGACCTTCATTTATCCTCAGCAAATAGCTCGTTATACGTTGCTAGCGCTAATGCCTAGCATAGCCGGTGTATGAGCTAATGGTGTTAGCCTGCTAGCCTGTCCACAGCACTGCAAGGTCAGTACGTTATGGGTAACGTTACATGATGTGTTGCATAGAAAACAACGAATGACCTGTCAAATGTGAATAAGGATTATTGACTAAACTTGTACATTGTCCTGTGGTAGGGTAGGGTGAGTTTATAAAAGTATAACTAGTCCCTGTAGTCTCTAAATTAAAATGGTCACACAGTGTATACTTACTAAGTTATATAAAAGCTGTATATTTGAAAACATTTTGTTTAAAAGTGGACTATATGAATTATATCACGTCAAGTACCCATTAACAACAGACTGTGATTTGCATGCTGTCCAAAACTTTGACCCAACTGTATTTTCTCGTACTGAATGTTTATTTTTAGTCATATGCAGTAAAGAAATAGATTTGTAAAATATGAGAGTTGCCTGTGAAGTCTTGACAAGCTCACCAGTCAACAAACCAGCAGTTTTCTTTCTCTGATTTCAGACAGCAAGATGGTCAGCCTTGCTAATTGGATTAATTTATGGGAAGCAGAGATATGGTAAGCGTTTATGAACGATTTTACGTTGTAGTTTAAAACTTAAATTAATTCAGTTATATTTTGTATTGGGATGCCTTTTGTGCCTCTGTTAATTGTCTTTCTATGGTGTTTTTCAATCAATCTGCTCACCAGATTATCTGAAGCCCATTGCTGCTGAAGAAAGGAGGATTGAGGAGGAAGAGAAGAAACTCAGGGAAGAGCAAGAGCGCATTTACAAACAGCTTTCTGAAGGTCTGTAACCCCTATCTCTCTCTATACACATTATTCTACAATATAACAAGAATAAAATATAACAAAATGTATCACATGATGTTGCAAAAACCCTGTTCCACCTGTCCTTTGTCTCAATATGGACATTTTATATTAAACAATAGAGGGTAGATACAGTAATGTTGAAATGGCGTCTGGTGAAATAAATTAGTCCCTTTTTTATTTTGTGATATATTAACAGCATCTCATGATGTAGCAGATTTCACCTATGTGAAGTTTAACTTGGGGTTTGAAGATATTCAATGAAAATATTCAGTCAGACAATTTCAAAGAAGTGTTATTTATGGAAAGGAATTTCAGGGGATGTATTTCAACAGTTTATGAACTAGAGAAAGTTATCAAAGTTCATTGTATACACATTTAGTAGTGATACAGGGTGTTACTTTACCACAAATATTTCAAAATGTGAAAAGATATCACTACTCTCTCTTTTTTTTTTTTATCTCCACAGCAAACTCTGACACCATTCTGAAGTAAATCTCCATGATGTATCCATTCCAGCACCAAATGAAATGAATCACAATAAACCTAATTTTATTTTCAATAAAGACAGAAGGTAAAAATATTCTTGTATGTTTTCTTTTTCCTCATTGCCATTATTCAGGTAATTCTGATTATATGCATCATAAGGGCGTCTGCATACCTTTTCAGCAAGAAAAGAACATTTTCATTTGGTTGGGTTATAGTTATATGCACTATATGCATGACAAACCAAGATCATTCTCTGAGAATGTGTTGAGGACTGTTTTGTCTTTACTGCACTGCTGTGGTGACGTTTATAGAGGGAGGACGGTTGTATAACCTCACCATGGTTTAGCATAAATCCCAGGATTTAGGTCAAGCCAATACAGCACAAGTGCTGATTTTGCACAAATGCTTCACAGCTACTTAGCTGCACTTCATTAACTATTTAAAAAAGCTCTGCTTTCCTCCATCTATAAACAACATTTCTACTGAGTTAATCTAAAAACCCAAAACTGCCATGACTTTAACAGAGACAAAAATATTGGAAGTCTTGTAAGAATATTGTCAGAAGATTTATTGGGAAATGGAATGTGTAGGGATGTTCAGATAACCTTTGCAGATGACACTCAGTTACAGTATCTAGGAAGGGAAGGGTGGAAACTGCTGATAGTTCTCATGGGATACGAGGCTTTCTTATCGAGTGACTCATTGAGTAGATGTGTGAAGAGAATCAAATCCTTTGTAGTTTGAAATAGTCTCAAATTAATATTGTTATTGCTTTAATATACTACCCATCAAAAAAATTGGGGTCTGTAAGTTATGTTTTTGAAAGAAGTCTCTTCTGCTCACCAAGGCTGCATTTAATTGATAAAAATACAGTAAAAACAGTAATATTGTGAAATACTGCAGTGTAAAATAGCTGTTTATTTATTTTTATATATTTTAAAATGTAATTTATTCCTGTGATGACAAAGCAAAATTTTCAGCAGCCATTATTCCAGTCTCACATGATCCTTCAGAAATCATTCTAATACGCTGATTTGGTGCTCAAGAAGCATTTCCTGTTGTAACGTGATACATTTCCCCCCCCCCAGTATTCTTTGATAAATAGAAAGAACATCATTTATTTGAAATAGTCAATCTAAGAACTAAGAAAAACACAAAGTTCATAAAAATAATATGCTTTAATTGTCATTGTATTGAGCATACAGAAGTGAAGCTTAATGTTTAATCATTTAATTGGAATCATCCATATGTGATGCTGTATTTTTGATGGTTTGCGAGCATCATATTTGAAGATGAATCAAAATAATCAAATTCATGTCAAAAATGATTAAACTTGCTCTGCAAGTAAATCACATTTGTGTCAAATTCAAAAAGACTCAATAAGTCTTATTATCGGGCCCTCGCTGTCAGATCTGACACATTGATTTAAACATTCATTTTCATTGCTACTGCCTGATTCTTCGCTACTTAAATTAAACCTTTATGATATGTGAAACAGAAGCAGCAGCTTTGTATTATAAGCTTGTAAAATTCATTAAGTGCACTAAAACACACCTTTGTAATATTTACTTTTAACAGTATGTAAAGTCGTACCTCATAAAGTTTAAAAATACATTTTGTGTATTTACACAATTAGATTCACAACTGATGTTTTTACGATGTTTTATAGACAACTAGTGAAAGAAAAACTTGATTCCTACAAAAAAAGTCAGACATGAGAAGAAAAAAATTGCCTGAATCTGAATACCTTCATGAATTTAAAGGGATAGTTCACCTTCAGTTGCTGGTCCCCATTGACTTCCATAGTGTGAAAAAAAACACTATGCAAGTCAATGGGGACCAGCAACTGAAGGTGAACTATCCCTTTAATCACAGACTTCTCAAGGTTCATTGTGATGACAGGTCAGCTGAGAACAGATGAATGATATCAAGGCCACTGGAATTAGTTTTCTCTGTGAACGCATGTCCCAACAGTGGAGACACTGAGTAACGGGACATTGCTCAGTAAAACACACCCATGACAGCACTTGATGTAAATAAGTCTGAAGGACAATTGCGCATTACCTGTCGGCTTAAGTGAAAGAAAAAAAAAATTCAAACTATAAAAACAACTATAACTTTAAACCCAATCTTTATACATGCTGACCACCACTGTATTCTGCCATCTAGCTTACCAGAAACGATTTTGTTGCGCACTAAGGTCTGTCACCTACCTTCTCACATTTAGCAACCTGCAACGTTAGCTTCCATCTGTACAATGTGATTACATTTAGAGGGAATAAATGACAGAAAAAATACGTATCACTCACATAATGGCCTTTGTTTTCTGATTTTCAGTGAAAGTAGCAGGTGACAACAAATTAGACATTAAAATTGCAAAATGGAGGAAAAGTTAACTTGTCATGGACCTGCTTGATACTAAGCAGCTGATAAATTAAAATAAATTAAAACCTATCCATACAAGTAATTTATAGATAATGCTAATATCTTTGATTGCATGGAGAGAAAAACAAAATAAACCTTTATTTATTTATTTTTTTTTTTTAAATAAGAACCATATTTTCAATATTCACCTCTGAATTTTCCTGTAGTACATCTAAGTCTGCATTGTGATTAACTAAAAACCGATTATCATCCTATAAAAATGCTTGAACACTATGACCCAAAGGAAACACAATGGAACAGTAATGCTAACTGTAGGCAAGATCCAATGTGTGTTTTGGTTAGCAGGTGGTCTTGTGGCCTGCTGATAGCATATAATGCATTGACAGTGTTTTCCCACTCACTCTTGATCAGATCCTTGGGGATCCTAAGGGTGATGTTGATCTGTGTGATGTACTATATTTCAAACTGCCTTGCCCTCTGTAATGTCGTCTTTTCTCTAGCAGATAGAGCAGGTCTTGGATCCTGATCCTGATCCACTGGTGCTGTTGGAATTTGCAGCTGTAGAGAAACCGTACAGAAACAAACACAAAGAGTCTGAATGAAAGAAATGCATCATATCATACGATATATGGCCGACAGGATATGGACACTCTTTTGTTATTGGCTATTCTAGTTCAGGTCTGGGCTTTTTGATGGTCAATCAAGTTCCTTGGAGATTAATGAAGTTCTTGATGTTTAATTACACGTTCTTCAGGTTAGCTTTTTGTGTCTGGGTTCTTTTGTGGAAGTCAAAGTGTTTTTTGTTTTTTTTATGTTAACAGACTGCAAAACCCTTTTTATAGCAGTAAAGTGAGGACCATTTTTCCTATTAATCTGTAAATCTGTACAAGCAAATATAGGTGTGGATTTTGGGTGTCTACATACTGTTGGCCATGTAGCATGTCAGTGTACACTTCAGTACCTTTCAAATATTTGGGGTCATTAGGGGTTTTAAATTAAATTGATCAAAGATAAAATTATACTTTATTTGAAGTATAATAATAAAAAAATGTTTCTTGAACAGTAAATTAGAATGATTTGTGAAGGATAATGTGACACTGAAGACTGGAGTAATGAATGCTAAAATGCCGTCACAGAAATAAATTAAATTTTATTTTAAAATATATTAAAATAGAAACGTTTTGTTTTTGTAATAATATTTCACAATATTACTCTTTTTACTGATTTTTTAAATAAAAATGTATATTGTTATGTCAAACGTCAACCTGAAAATGAGCTACAGTGTAAGAGGGTCTGAATGTAGGTTCTTTCTAATTTAGTAGAAATACAGTGAACAAAGGATATCGATTAATAAAATCTTAAGCAAACGATTAAAATTCAAACCATTTTTGGCAGCTGCTTCCTGTCTGGCCTTAGCTGCCTCCTCCATTGCCTTTAGTTTTGCCTCATATTCCTCCTGCCTCTCTTTCCAATGCATCCGGTTGTTCAGAATGCCATCATGCATGGGCTGGATCTCGTGGTGAAAACGAGAGAACTCCTATGGAAAACAAAGAGGGAGAGGTTGCTAATTAATCTTAATGTTAAAAACAAAATGAGAATGATTTGGTCATTAATTTCTTGAAACAAACAAACAAAAAAGATCAGTTCCCTTCATTCATAAAGGTACCTTGTAGACAAAAGTACAGACAAAGTCGATAAAACCACACTGAAGCTTTGGCAGCTCTGCGGCTTTGTTCCTGTCCATCATGGGCTAGATTAAAAGACAAACACCACATGATTGTTTTTTTTTTTTCCACCAATGGTTTCCAAGGTGGGAGCTTTCCTAGCAGTCCAGCCACCAATATTAGATGAATGTACTCACAATAGGTTGTTGCTCAAGAACAGTCCTCTCAAGATCACCCTGCTCCCAGAATTCAGCTGCTACAGAGAGGGCGACCTAGGATGGGAGAAATTACACTTATATATTGCTGAGAAGCAAAACTGTAGTTATTCTTCATTTGACATCTCTTACCTTGCTCTGTACCTCCCATGGTTTTGCGATAGCTGAGAGGTCACACGCTGTCATCATCATGGCCCTGGTCAATTATTAAAAATATAAAAACACGCAAAGTCCAAATGGATTATTTCTAAGAGATGTATTATGCTAAAATGCCTAGCGGAAGTTGTAAATGGACACACTTACATTACAATTTCTTTCCTTGTTGTTTCAAGAGACATGAAGTCCACCCATTTCTTCTGATCTTCATATGTCTCAGAGAGATCCACAATTTTCTGGAACATTGTTCTCTTTCTTTAAGGTAGAAAAAGTTCATATTTTAAAACCTTTGTCTCATTTTAGCTTTACATTTAAAGTGAAGTGATGTGATGTGACATGTAGCCAAGTATGGTGACCCATACTCGGAATTAGTGTTCTGCATTTATCCCATCCAAAGTGCACACACACAGCAGTGAACACACACACGGAGCAGTGGGCAGCCATTTTTTTGCTGCGGCGCCCGGGGAGCAGTTGGGGGTTCGGTGCCTTGCTCAAGGGCACCTCAGTCGTGGTATTGAAGGTGGGAGAGAGCGCTGTACATTCACTCCCCCTACCTACAATCCCTGCCGGTACGAGACTCGAACCCGCAACCTTTGAGTAACGAGTCCGACTCTCTAACCATTAGGCCACGACTTCCCCTTTAGTTTCACTTCTTTAAATGAACAGCAACGGTCACTATAAACTGGCACTATACAAACAGCTGAAGAAAAAAGTTACTGTATATGAGTTTGTGACATTGTGACAAACCACATAGTGACAAGTAAATAATGCATTTTCATTGTTGAGTGAAAAATTCCTTTAAAGAGACTTTAAAACATACTACTACGTATGATATATTGTCAAACCTTACTTGAAGTACAGTGCAAGATCAGTTGCAATAATGGCAATGTCAATGAGGTGGAAGACATGCTCCGTTTGTCTTCTGTTGAGGTTCTGGAAGATGTTTAATGACTAAGAAAAAAAAACATATGTTAGGGTCAAATCAAATTAACACGAAGGCTCACATTTTGGACAGTTTGCTCATACCTCGTCGCCTAACAAGAATTTGCCAAAGTCCAAGTGATGCCTCTCTAGAATGGAGGATCCATGCAGCTTGGCTAGAGGATTTTGGGACCTTATCACAAAACATACAAATGTGATGAAGATTATTATTAGTAGAAGCAATAATAGTACAAGTACTAGTAGAAATAGTAGTAGTATCTACTGACTTCACTTGGTAGAGATTATTTGTGCCTCTGTGGTCGATATCATGCAGGAAGCCTGCAGTGATCATGGCCATCACCTCCAAATCTGTGTAATACTGCTTCAGTTTGCCTGTCTGGCTCCATAAAAAACAAAAAATAATTTTCATTATGATTTTTTTCATTTTTAGTATGTGTATCTAAAATGTGTCATGAACAACAAAGATGCAAAAATCTGTTTGTCTGAAACCGGATCAAACAAACTTGTTTGGAAACAATCATTATGTTTGAAATTCTGTTTCATACTTCATTTTTTAAATGCGTAAATCAACAACATACATTTAGTTTGGACCCTAAACAAGTAATCCTAAGTAAAGGTAAGCTGAGCAGGTCATACCGTGAGTAAAGTGAACATGGTTTGCCCAACATTGAAGCCATGGCGCCAGTTGTGGTAGGTGATTTTCCTGTAGCCTTTGCTCACTGAGTACATGAATCTTACCAAAACCTAATTGGAAAATAGCAGCCAATTTTATGGAATTCCATGATGCTTCACGACACAAATCAGGTGTCTCCATCATTATAAACAAGCAAATTTACCTCCTGAGGGACCTGAAACTTTTTAACCACTCCAACTTCATAGTACATCTGAATCCCACACATTACAAGTTCCAGTTCAGTGCAGTCAAAGTCTGAAAAATGGAATGCGTAGATCTCAAACTTTTTTGGACCTGGCAGCTCTTTTTTCTGCATAAAAATAATAATAAAAAAAAAAAGTCAGTCAGTGCATAACTTTTGAAAAACATAAACCAATGCAAAAGGAAAATATGCAAAGTATTTTGAATAATGCAATAATAGCTGAAACGGCATATCTTAAACTTAATTAGTATACGGAGAGAATCACAATAGACATATCTGAAAGCATCTGTAATGTTTTAAATAATGGATTCCTATTAAAGGCGACTTTATCTTATCTATCTGAGAAGATTAAGATCAGCCAGTAATTTCAAAATCTTTAAAGGGGTCATATGATGCTTTTTTAAAGATCATTATTTGGTGTATTTGGTGTAACAGAATATGTTGACATGCTTTAATGTTCAAAAAACATATTATTTTTCAAATACTGTACATTATTGTAGGTCCTCTATGCCCCGCCTCTCTCAAACGCTTCGTTTTCTACAAAGCCCCCTCCTTAGTTTTACCATCAGTTCAAGCCCGAAAGGCGAACAGAGTCGTGTGACAGACACAGTGAGGAAGCTGGTATGTGTTTGCAGTACACAAGCCACGGTTAAGACAGCTGACTGATGTGACCCTGTGTCTCTCTCTCTCTCTCTCACTTACACACACACGCGCGCGCGCGCGCACACACGCACACGCACACACACACACGATGCGCAGCAAAACTCCGCATTTGAACAGTCAATAGCAAATACTTAGCAGTTCAGTGTACCAGAATTTCTAAAAGCTCGTCCTCCTCACAGTCTCTTGG